AAAGGAAATATTTTGCTGGCAATTTTTATCATGACTTTTTAATGACTTTTTAAAGGTCCTGGGATGGGAAGTACGTGCCTGCATCTGAAGGAGGTGTTTTAAAAAAATGTAGTGTAAACACCCTTTTGGCAAGACAGTGATGGGGTAAATGATGGTTTAAAGTTCTTCTTTTTGGGCCCCCCCGCCCTTGGGGGGATACAGCCGGTTTGTTGAAAAAAAAAAAATTATTATTTTTAAACTCCCCACACACTATTGACAAAATAAAATTACCCTGATGATTTTTTGAGTGTTTTTCACTGCCAGGCCCAGCCCCGGGGGCCAGGGTCTCTGGTGCTTGCCTGCTACACCAGGGTGTTTCGGTGGTCCCCCAACCCACTCCATCCAGCCCGGTGACCCCGCACCCGGTGAAAAACTTGTCCGGTTTTCCCCTTTAGGCTTTACCTTGTTAAAGCATTTTTTGGGTTTTGTTCCAACAGTCTTTATTCACAGTTTAACAGCAAAAAAACAAATTCACAGTCGGCAAACAAAAAACCCTATTTTTAATTTTTTACATAAAACTTTTTTCTCTAAAACCATATAATGAATTTACATAATTAATAAAACGTAGGCACAAAAGATGGCCACAAATTATTAATGCTTTTTTACCCGTATTGTAAGCCTATTAATTAAAATACTACTTTAAAAAAGAATTCTTAGCAAATTTAAAATAAAATAAAGACACTTGAAGAATTGAGACACTTATGCAACATAATAAACCTAATGACAAAAAGTCCACAAAAGGACAATTTCGAAATACTAAATTTAAAGATCCCGTTTTATACTGACTGAATATAGAAATTTGAGAACAGTAAAAATTACTTTAGATTCAAATATTAAATAGGAAATGTATGTTACCCAAATTTCGTATGGGTGTTGAAGGAAGAACAGAAAACTGGATGAAAGTGTTTTTTTAGACATAACAGTTGCTGCTCAATTTTGTGAGGAATGGTGTTTTTTTTTACAGCTTTGAAAAGGGGGGCAATAGGGACCCCTTTTTTTGTTCAGACGGAGTTCCAGACTTAAGGCCATTTATGAGATTTTGAAATTTTTACAAGGTTTAGTTGGACAAGGGGGGTGATGTCAGCTTTTTGTTCGTTGCACCTATTAAAAAAAAAAAGTTTAAGAAAGGCTTATATTGAAAAATAATGTCCCCATATACTGTAGGCACAGCGTATGAGTATTTTTATTTTTTAAACAAGTTCAGTTTGGGGGGAGTTGTTGTCTGCCACTGGTGGGTAATTTTTCCCCAACTTTCAAGTTATTAATGATTTTAGGTAAAAGTTCCCCAACCAATCAATCCCTATGCTTTACAATTTCTGTATAACACGAAAATTGGGCAGGGGGTTACCCCCAAAAAAAATTTTTCCAGATAACGCAATCAATCGCTGTCCCAATTTCTGTTAGCCAACTTCTGGGTCTGACAAATTTCTTGGGGGGGCTAAATTGGGAACCTTACTATGTGTCAGGTAGGTAGAGTTGGTTGCCCCAAAATGCATTTATTTTGGTTTTGGGCACTCAAAAAGCCCCGTGGAACTAATTAATTTCATACCCAGGTACCCTGTACTGTATATATTGTATTGTTATCCATTATTTTTCTTGTAAATGATAAAGATAGGTAATCCTGGGTTTATAAAACATTGTTCCATGGCTAAGATAACGTCCACATGCTTCCAGCAACATCTAAGTAAGAAAATAATTTTTCCTCTGAAATCAGCGTGTCAAAAGGGCTATAAAATGCCACAGCTAGGGGCTGTAACACCCTTTTCCCGTACACACAAATAATTAAAAAAAAACTTTTTTTTTTTCTTGTTAGGTCACCCTCCTAGTGGGGGATATGGTGCACATTGAAAAAAGCTTTGAAAATTGTGGACCTTTACCCACTTCCCTGGGCCCCACCCCAGCAAGTGAACCCTAGTGCTCCCCGGCCCAGATGATTTTGTCCCAATTGGGGGAAAAAATTAGTTAAAACCATAATGATCCCAACAGAATAAACAATAGTTTTAAAATATTTATTGGTAAAATAGAGAGGCTTATGGGCATATAAAAAAGGGGGAAAGGGCATTAAAAAATCAATATATTCAATTAAAATGAGAAATAAGAAAAGGAATAAGAAAAGCAAAAAGGGATTATGAGCTTAAAGTTGCAAGGGTTTGAAGACTAAAAAAAGGGTTTTTAAAGGGTTTCAGAAGTAGATTAGGGGCAAAAATAGGGGCCCATAAAAGTAACTGAGGTCAGATCACTGACAGTTATAAAGGAATGTGTGAACTTTTAAAAAACCCACTTCCCCTGTTTTTACCCAAAAAAAATTCAACAAAATTTATAGAAAATTTTAAAAATTATGTAGAAAAGAATGTAAAAAACTAGCACAATTTTTGGGTAACTAGTGACATGGTCCCTCAGGAAGGTTCCCTTGTGTTGGGAGGGGGGCCTTGATTTAGGGAAATTAGATCTGTGCTCCCGTTCCCCGAAAATTTAAACCTGAAAGCCTTTTACATCCCCCCCCAGGCGCTGTATATCCTCCCGGGTTTAGCGCTTCCCCTTTATTAAATAAAAATATGACATGGTTGAGACAAAAAGAGAAATTTAAACCTAACAAATCCAAGGGGCCCCCATGAAAAAGTTTGCAAGGGTTTTAAAGAATGTAAGAGGAACTTGCATACCTTTGGTAATTTTTTCAATATATCACTACAAACTAAAAACTAATGTTAGTTTTTACGATATTAATGACCTCAGTGATTATTAGTTTTTTATTTTTTTTATTATGGAATCTTCAAAAATAATAAGACAATCTTAGTGATTTTAAAGGGTACCTGCATGCCAGCACAGTGTGTACCTGATGCCCGCACAGTGTTAAACCCGATGCCGCACAGTGTATACATGCTGCCCGCACGTGTGTACCTGCAAGCAGCACAGTGTGTACCCCTGCCAGCACATTGTGTCCTGCATTCCAGCAAGTGTGTACCTGCATGCCAGCCAGTTATAATGTGCCAGCACAGTGTGTACCTGCATGCCAGCCAGTTACACCAGCTGCCGCACAGGTGTCCCCGCATCGTACGTGTGTACCCGGGATGCGCACAGTGTGTACCCGCTGCCAGAACAGTTTGTACCCGATGCCGCAATTTTTCCAGCATGCCAGACAGTGTGTACCTGCATGCCGCACAGTGGTACCTGCATGCCAGCCCCAGTGTGTACCGCATGCACCATGTGTACCTGATGCCCGAAAAGTGGGGGTAACCCGCAGCCAGCACAGTGGTACCCGCAGCCAGCACAGGTTTTACCTGCATGCCGCACAGGTGTACCTGCATGCCGCACAGGGTACCTGCATGCCCGACAGTGTATACATGTGCCAGCCAGTGTGTAACCAGATCCAGCACAGTGTGTACCTGATGACAGCACAGTGTGTACCAGCATTTCCAGCACAGTGTGTACCTGAGCAGCACAGTGTGTACCACATGCCAGCACAGTGTGTACCGGAGCCAGACAGTGTGTACCAGCATCCAGCCAGTGGTACAGCATGCCAGCACAGTGTGTACCCGCTGCCAGCACCCGTGGTTCCCGCATCCCAGCACGTGTGTACAGCATGCCAGCAAGTGTGTACCTGCATGCCAGCACAGTGTTTACCCGCATGCCGCACAGGTGTCCTGCATGCCAGCCAGTGTGTTACCTGCATGCCGCACAGTGTGTCCAGCGCCAGCACAGTGGTACCCGCATGGGCACTTGTACCTGCATGCCAGCACGGTGTACCTGCATGCCCCCCACAGTGGTCCTGCATGCCAGCACAGTGTGTACCTGCATGCCACACAGTGGTACCTGCATGCCAGACAGTGTGTACCAGATGCCAGCACAGTGTGTACCTGCTGCCCGCACGTGTGTACCGCTGCCAGACAGTGTGTTTTCCCGATGCCCGCACAGTGTGTCCCCGCATGCCAGCACATGTGTACCTGCTGCCAGAACAGTGTGTCCTGCATGCCGCAATGTGTCCAGCTGCCAAACACGTGTGTACCTGCATCCGCACAGTGGTACCAGCTGCCACCGTGTGTACCTGCATGCCCCCACGTGTGTACCGCATGCCCGCCCGTGTGTACCGCATGCCAGCAAGTGTTTTACCTGCATGCCAGAAAACAGTGTGGGCCTGCATGCCAGCACAGTGTGTACCTGATGCCGAAAGTGTGGGGACCCAATGCAGACGGGTTTTTACCCGCATGCCCCGCACTTGTCCAGCATGCCAGGGACAGGTGTTATGCCAGCACAGTGTGTACCCGATGCAGCAATTTATTGTTGTCGACATTGTGTACCTGCAGCCCGCACAGAGTGTACCCGCATGCCAGACGTGTATACATGCAT